AAGAAACACGAGCACGCCGACGACAAACCAACTGCCCCTTCTCGACTGTGATTATTTAATATACATATCGATTAATTAACTGGAGTTTTAATTAATTAAAACGAAATATTCCAAGACACAATGAACACAAGAGACGCAAGTGTGCTGAGGACAAGTTTCTCAATCCCTGTTTCTCGATTGCAAAAATGATTAATTAATTACGACAACAACGCTACTTTAAAAGTTCCTCTTCACTCTCCTCACCGCTGAAACATCTTTTCCTCTCCAAATTCTCCTGGAATTTCTCTCTTGACGAACGTCGATCTTCACCCCCACCCTCCGACAATTCGATTCCCTTTATCGTCTGGGTATTATCTGAGCAATCTTCCCCGCGACAGGATTGTCCGTCTCCTCAAAAGTTTTTCCAACTTGCAGTTTCATCGCCGCAGAACCTGACCCGGCCAGGTCCTTAGGATAACGGATTATTTGTCCAGCTATCGATCCCGTGCAGATGAGAGACCGTTCCAGACGGGAGAAGCAGCCAGTTGCCGAGGGAGATATTTTTTGAAGAATACCACCGACGGGACACCGACTTCCTTCCTAAGAAACCTGCTACTATGGTTTCACGCGAGAATGTGTCTTCGTTTCTCGACGTTTCCGCCGTTTATTTCGATTTTCTGGCGCGAGCCACTTCGCTTTTCCAAGTTTTTCGAGATACTTAGCCCCCCTTGAACTTTCCACGAATTTCTTCTCACAGTCTTTAGTTAGTTACAGCTGCATCGTTGCGAGGTGTGAACTAAATTCGTGCTCGTTTAAATCGTCAGTTCGAAGAATTGACCAAATTCGAATTTTATTTTCTTCTTTCAAACGAGACTCAATAGTATAACTCGATAATAAAGGATTAACGGTGCTTTAACGTGTTAACCATCGAGAAGAATTTACGTGCATTTGTTACACTTACGTTCTCCTTAAATAATTTCGCAGAGACGCGAAAGAAATTGCCGTTTTTCATGTAAAGGGTGGCAAAGTGAGTGACTTCGCGCAGCGTCGTAGGTCCAACTTTCATTCGGTATTAAGAACAGTTTTACTAGGAGACAAGAGGAATATCCAGATATCGCTCTACTTTCAGGAGTGGAGCAAGTCAGACGGAAAAGTCGAAAGTCAAGAGTCAAAAGTTCGCACAGTCGAGTCGAGTTGAGAAGTCGCAGAGAAGTCGCCGAGACGTTGAATTTGCGTCGTTTAGTCGTATAATTCGCCGTGGCGTACTGCCGAATGAAGTGCATTTACTACGTGTGATATATTTACAATGATAACATTATGTTCATAACATTTACGATTATACGCGTCGCGTTATGTAACGCTAGAACTAAAGAGCAAAGAAGATTTAAGCTCAAAATTTCCTTCAGAAATAACTGAATTTATAAAATATTAGATATTAAAATTAAAAATATTTTACAATGTAACTGAGTACACGAGCTTTTATTCTACGAGAAATGTCAATCTCTGAAATATCCAACGAAAATTACTAATTTCTAGTAATTGATCGATCAATTACTAAATTGGTCGTTTCGATCAATTTTTTAATATACTCTACAATCATAATTCTTAGTATACTCTAATTAACATACTCTAATTGGGAGATGACTATTACGATTATGTGGGTAAAATTTCAGACAAGTCTGTAAAACGTATTCAGAAGTCGTAAGATATTTAACAAATCTTCTTAAGATGTCTAATTCCTTTCTGAGATGTTATCGACAAACCATTGACAGGATAAGTAATTATCGGTGGTTGATAAATAATACTACTCGCGCCTTGATAAAAAGTGTCTAAACGTGTCTACAAATATTGAAATATAAGGTATCATCGTAGTTTCTTGGAATATATGATAAACTAGGATTGGATTCTCACGCACAAAACATTCCAATGTGATATTATAATTAATACCCTATTATATACATGGTGCAGTATTATATATTGCACGTTTTTCAAAGTACACTTTTAAAGTAGTCAAGCAAATAATATATAAACATTTCTCGCTATTGATTAATACAAAACTATCAGTACATATTAGATAATTACACAAGATTCTTCAAAATGGATTAATAATAAATAAATATTCCTCTTCAAAATGCATTCTCAAAATTAACAATAAACAAACATTCATTATGAGATAATACGAAACTATCAATGTATACAGGCAATTATGATTATTATCTGGCATAAATATGATTATTATCTTTCGTTATTCCACGTTGTTTCAATTTTGATTGAAATTCTCAACACGGAGCTTGGCTGCAAAACTTTTTTTAACAAATAATTTCCAATGTACAAGATATATATATATATATACATATATATACATATATATGTAGAGTCATCGGATAGACGTTTTAACATCAGTCCACGTGACTCAGGCGGTGGTGTATCCGGCGGTGCACGCGCACGCGATGCGAAAAACCGATTATTAAGCCGCGAACGTGGAAAACTTCCGACTAATGCGGCAACGATACGCATGCAATTAGCACGCCAGCAGACGGAGCAATTAAACATTTACCAGTTAATTCGTCGGGCCCGATGTAACGACTACATCGTCGCGGCGAGCTTGTAACAAGTTTCACGCCTCGACTTCCAACACCACCGATCGTAGCTGGCTGCTACGCTTCTCGAATTGCGGCGAGAATTGTTTCGAACGTGTACGTGACGCCTCGTGTAAATATACTTTCGATATCCCGCCGCTTTCGACGAATTTAATTAGATTAATTCGAATTTTAACGAACTGATACACGGACCTCTGGTTCAGGAGGTTTGTCGATAAAAAAGAAAAAAAAAAAAACGTTTCAACGTTTCCACACGCGTTCGAATCTTTGCAATTTCCCCCCCGTGAAAATTGCATTAATTCAAACTCGCCTTTCCACTCGCTGAGAATGATGTAGAATCATTGTCGAGAAGAAAGGAAGCTTCGCTCTTTAACCCACTGCGCTGGGCAACTGGTTCGCGGACCATAACGAGTGACCGAATCGTATACAATAATTCGTCGCTTTCTTCTTCTTTTGCGCTCGTCGGTGCGATATCACCGGATAGAAATGATCTTAAGAAGTAATAAACTTATCATTTGTTATCAGTTTTCCTGCCTTACGTTTAAATACACTTGAAACTGAGAAAATGTGGCAACTTGGGGGCAAGAAATGGTACGTGATACGTCATTCCAGCGCAAGACGTTAAAACGAGACCGAGTGGATCGTCGAAAGGCGATCTGTTTTCAGAAAGTTATGACGATTTTTCATCGTCGCTGCTGCAATTACGCTTTTCACAACTTTTCGCTTTATAAATATTTGTCGAGGAACGATAATAAGCCACGAATTTAAAGATTAAACATCGGAGTCTCCTGTTGCGATAGTGACAAAAAACATCTGACGGAGCTCGTCGAATAGTTCCGGTTCTCTCTCTCTTTCTCTCTCTCTTTCACTCTCTCTCTTCGTTGCTCGCAACTTAATTTCGCGCCTAGGGAAGCCATTGCCTATCGCGGATATTGGAAACGGTGGTTCATCCAGGCGAGGCAAAGAGTCGATCCAGATTTTAATGGAGGGGCCAGTCCTCAGATTACTTCCGCTTCCCGTGTGGAGCGCTTCATTGTCTGACGAAATTGAATGATCGAGTAGCGACTGGGGGAAAAAGACGTAGGTATAGGCTCCTTTTTGTCTGACGGTCTTTTCCACCGCGATTTCCGGCGACGAGCTCGTGGAAGAGAGCCCTCTCTGAACCAGCAAAGAGAGCCTACTTATTCCCTGTTAATCTCATTTTTATTGCAACGAGAACCGGTCGTTCTCAGTTTGGCCACGTTTTCAAGATTTCTATCGTTACAATCGTGATTTGATTAATACTTTCAGTATCGTGTTGAATGAACGTTGAATGATCGAATTAAGAGTTCACACTGCTCGTTTGACTATGTTTGAACCGACCAATTTTCTACTTAAGCAAGATTTAGGTAATATTATTTAGTCTTAAATATTCCATAATATTAAATTAATCATTATATTAATCGTCAATTGAAATATGATATAATAATACATTTTGTTTCACAGCCTGTTATACTATCTCGTATCTTATCACGCTTTCATCGTCTAGCCTGTGTCTGAATTCGATACCCTTTGTTTGACCATCCTTTGTTTCGTTCCTGCGGTAAGGTACACTATCTGTCTTGTGAATTACTCTGTTTGATCATACACACATCCCCAATACTCCTTTTGTCTGACAATATTTGGGTGATGCATTCATTTTCATTCCTGCAATATTTCTCTGACAATATTCGTACTTTCTACTCGCCAACTGATAATCATCGTTCCCCAAAAACTTTGTTTTTAAGTTAGGTTTAGATTTCAGGTCATGTGCGTGATGACGTATACCGGGCAATGAAAAATATTGAAATACTTTTCAATATTCAGTATTTATCATAGATGATAAAATTATTTTAAAAAAACAATAGATGATCTCCTACGATTATGTATGATGAAATTTGAAAATTATAATTCTCGTCCTATCTAACATATTGACCAATCTTTGAACCCTTTAATGTTCTACGCCATACTGCAATTTGGACCTCGTACTACACCATAATTTGGACCTTGTACCATAATCAAGAATCTACACTACGTAATCCATCGTTCGATGCAACACGTGACATTTTCAGTGAGAATATAACAAAATAGTTGTAGTTAGATAATAACCATTTATTTGGACGAAATTTCAACCAATTTCTAATTAAATGAATCCCTGTTCTTTGATTATTATTCTAAACTCCCATTATACAACTATTACATAAATCCCAATTATACAGGGTGTCCCAACAACGAGCGGGGATGATTCTAGGAAAAGATTTTATTCTTCGACACCTTCGACCTCGCTTCGACACCCTGTACAGAATTACCTGTCACTCGACAAGAACCCCATCAAGGGAAAAGAAACGAACAATCTCCATCCATTTCCGAAAAGATCAACGACTAGAGAGCTCGCAGACTCACCGCGACTGAACTGATCGTTATTCGCGATCACTCGCTCGGCGTTCTTCCTGGCGATGTAAAACCACTCGCTGCTATTGCTCAGGTACTTGTACTCCATCGCCAGATCTTTCACCAAGATCCCGTCTTGATCCTGCAGTCGATGAGCGAAGGGACAGTAAAGCCAGCGGTCCCTGTACTGTAGTTTGTCGTAGCAATTCCCAGCGGCGAATATATCCTCGTCGAATTCGACCATCGACAGGATACTCGCGTGTAACAGGTACTCCGAGGAGAGCATCACTTCTGGCGCGTACTTCCACAGCCTGGTCAGCATGTTGGCCCTGTTCACAGCTAAATTCGCCTCGAGCCTGAACCTCTCCTGAGCGTATTGGTCGACGATCCCCTCGCCAAGGTTCAGATCGGTCCCGGCGGTGCAATTCTCGCCGAGCAGGTGTTGGTTCTCGATGATACGAAGGAACCTCGTGACGATGTCCACGTGGACTGGCTCCTTGCTAGACTTCCCTTGATCGCCGCCCTTCCCGTAATCCTCGTAATCCTCGCTCTCCGAGCTGTTATTGCCCCCGTCGCTGTCATACACGTCATAATCCTCCATGGTCATCTCCGCTTCGTCCAGGTCGCTTCTGTCACCAGACGGCGCACCGTGAACAACGTGGCCGTATATCTCGGACGAATTGCCGGCGGTTCGATTGCCAGACAGCCGAGACCTGTTCCTGTCGATCACTTTTCTCAGTTTGTTCAACGAATCGTTCTTGTGCCTCACTCTCCCTTCTTTCCTCTTGTCGGACCCGGCCTCCGACAGCCTTATGAGCAGTTTGTCCAGATCCACGGTCGATCGTTCGTCGATCGTGCCCGAGGATCTCAGATCTTGGCCGGTGATCACGTTCTTGCCTCTGGATCTGTCGAGATTCGAGACGTTCTCGATCCGCGACACGTTGTCCATCGCCTGGGTCCTTCTGCCGGATCCATCAGACACGAACGACGAGTCCGGATCGTCCAGTTTCACCTGTCTCACGAAATGGCTTCTAGACCTGCCGTGTCTGATCTGAGTGGCCGGCCTCTCGATGCTGGTTTCCAATTTCGGCTTGGACGGGATCGTTCGACCGTCGTTCTCCTCGTCCTCCCGATCCTCAAACCCGATCGCAGGCTCCGTCGTCACGCTCTCGTGCATCTCCAGCCGGTCGACCAGCTTCCGTTCGATGAACGATGGTCGATGATTCTGCTGGTGACGCAGCAGCTCCCTCGGCCTCTCGATCTGTGCCTCCTGATCGGCGTGGACGGCCAGCCCGGGCCAAAGCGTGCACGTGAGCAGTACGAGCAGCGCGTACCAGCCGCATGTGACACTCATCTTAGAGCGGGTTCACGGCCATCAACGGCAAGCACAGTCCGTAGGCAAGCCCCCCCGGCCCAGTCACGTCATCCGGACAGGAGCCGGCGTTTCAACACGGCTACCGTCATTTTCGTCACGTGTTCGCGACACACTCTGCCGTTGTGTTCCACTAGGCATCCACCGTGCCCGGAATCAGCCGCCAACGTTCAGCTGTCGCATGTTTCATCGCGCTCAGCGCTCGACTGCACTAAAGGAATTCACGGTTTTCACTGCGCGGTGGTGACGTTTCGCGAGACGACGCTTGAGCGTTTCTTTAGCGGGGACCACGGCCCTTCCGCTGGAAATGTTCATGTTTTCTCTGTTTGTATGTGTGTGTCTCTGTGTGTGTGTGTGTGTGTATGTGTGTTGCGACAGGTATTGCGACACCAGTACCCCCTCGGTCTGAGATTTTTTTTGGCAGGGTTTTCGGTTTGCCTGGGTTTGTCTCAGGTTGGGTCATCGGATTTCGAACGACAGACGTCGGTGGCGGCCTCGCGAGTCATCGCGACGAGCGGACGCGGAACCGAGAGGGGTTTGCAGGCGTCTCCGTGTGTGGGGAAACGCCAAGATCCACTCGCGCTCGCACGCGGCGCCAGACTAAGGGTTGAAACCGACCAACCCCCGTGCTACCAGCGCGCAACGCTCCGTGCAATGCGCATGTTCCGTTTAGATGATTTTATTAGAATCAAGCCGGATCCGTTGTTTTCATCGTGACGCGTGACGAGCGAATGATCGCCGATGAGTCGCTCCGGTGCATTCGCTGGTTCCCGCTGTTCTGTCCAGGGAGATCCGTTGCGGATGAGAATCGGGCCAATCTTTGGCGAATTGAACAATACCTTTAAATATTAAATTTAAAGTCTACGTGTTACGATTGTCGTTCGTTTGACCATGAGACGATCTTGGTCCTCTAGTAATAGTCACAAATGAATCAGAACATGTAATTTCGAGTATTCTCAATGAAGGTACGCGGCAGGATTTATTGATGACAGGGGTTCAGATAGCAGGTTTCGAGGAATTTATGTGATTTTTAATATAATATCGTATCTGACTTTGATAAAACACGCGATTATTTATTTCACTTTTTTTTGCAGAAAAAAAATAATGAATCAAGCTGCAATCGTATCCAACGTGCAGTTCCAGTAAACATCGTGATTAACTCTAGAGCCACGAAAAGTTGAAGAATCGTTCCATTTTACGCTTACTTAATCACGCTAATTACACTCTCGATATTTCAATTTATCCGTAACGGTTTGCGTCACGGTACCATCGTCTAGAAATGCAGAAAAACTCTCAAAGGCACACACGATGCACGCCATTATTCCGCCCATTGTATTGTTGTTTAACGATTGAAAGGAGGCACGCCGGTATCTCGTTACCGTTGTGCCCGATATTAAACAGCCAGTCGATGTAATGTCGAATTAATTTTCCAAGCGATAAAATGTTGTTCCGTTGCCGAGATAACGATTAAAAGGGAATGCGCGCGGATCCGTTCCGGGCGCAACGGTGACAATTTATTGCATAACGTGCAGACATATTGGCGTACAACCAACCAACACGTTGATACCTAATGCGGTGGAAAATTCGTAGCAGCAGTGCAAGTTCTCCCGGCCAAAGAGAAAAATGTTATGGCACACATCATGGAAACAAATGCACGCCACTGAATATAAAATGAACACGCAGCTATTTTTCTCTTCCGCCCGTTGGAATAAATCCATCGTTTCACTGCGGTTACACACTTCCGTTTAGAGTATGCCGAACGATCGACGATTCAAATTGATCGACAGGTCGAGCGATATCTCGAAAATTTCGTTCGAGCTACGAGGAAAAAAAATCGCTACGTGTAGCCATCGAGTGTTTTCGAGCGAATAAAAAATAATAAATCGCGAGTAAATATTAAATATAAAAGAGTAATTAAAATACTAGCTCTTTGAAACGCCGTGTCTAGATTACAATTTATCTAGAAAAACGTATTAAAACAGATTGCGAGTCGACTAACTGTTGAAATTACTCTCAATGAAATATCGATTAAATATTAAATATAAAAGAGTAATTAGATTAAATATTAAACATAAAAGAGTAATTAGAATACTAGCTCGCCCTTTGAAACGCCGTGTCAGGATTACAATTTATCTAGAAAAACGTATTAAAACAGATTGCGAGTCGACTAACTGTTGAAATAACTCTCGATGAAATATCGATTAAATATTAAATATAAAAGAGTAATTAGATTAAATATTAAACATAAAAGAGTAATTAGAATACTAGCTCGCCCTTTGAAACGCCGTGTCAGGATTACAATTTATCTAGAAAAATGTATTAAAACAGATTGCGAGTCGACTAACTGTTGAAATAACTCTCGATGAAATATCGATTAAATATTAAATATAAAAGAGTAATTAGATTAAATATTAAACATAAAAGAGTAATTAGAATACTAGCTCGCCCTTTGAAACGCCGTGTCAGGATTACAATTTATCTAGAAAAATGTATTAAAACAGATTGCGAGTCGACTAACTGTTGAAATAACTCTCACACATGAAAATTCTGCCCGGGTTTAACCCGATTTCGAGGCTGCAATTAACAATTCCCCCTTTCGAGAAACGATAGAAGAAAGATGACAATTTGTCCTTTCTTCCAGCGGGAAGTTTCTTGCCGAGAGTTGAAACTTTCTTCGAGATGAAAGGGACCATCGTCCCGAGGAGAAAAATTCGCCGAAGGAAAATTAGCGGGAAATAAAGACTCGTCAGCCATCCGGCATCAAGTTCCTCAAAGACGGTTGGAAACTCGAGTAGGATACAGTTCTCTTTGAAAAGTCTCGAATTCCGTGAACACGCGTTGCACGGAAGCCGCAGGAAAGATCGCCGGCGAGGAAATTTCCAAGAAACATGACACTGTCTTGCAAGATACCTCGCCAAGTACCATGGATGCTTGCAACAGTCTCCGAATAAACAGCCGTTACATTTGAACATGCGAACAAGCGGGAATATTTCGTCGATGATACAACAAATATTAACGGAATAACGATATTCCGCGAATGAATGAACACTGTCGGAATTTTTGTAAATAATTTCCGAATATTGCAGAATAATCTCTCTCGTATTTCCCGGTTAAAATCATTGTCGAAAATTTTCATCAAAGAGAAATTTTTCTCGGGAACGTTTTTGCATTAAAAATCCGTTTCTGGATTAAAAAATTTCCCACAATAAAATTTCGGAGCGAAGCGGCAGAAGTATTATTTGAACAGTACTAACGATTTAAAAAGGTTTTCCGAAACGTTACTTCAAATTCCCAAATTTGTGAAACACGTGACCGTTTCGAACCTGTGCCATTCCCAAATGGGCATCATTAAGGGTTAAAAACAGATTAATGCCCGATCGATTTCACGTGACGATTCGTATTCGTACGAGACGCTCGTATGAAGTCATTTTCGAAAGAAACGTGCGATCGCTATCGCCATCAGGAGCCACGAGTCAGCAACAAGTGTCTGAAGACGCCCCTCGTTGCCTGCAGCGAGAACGGCGTGGTCAGATCGCGTTAGAATTACTCGAATCCAGGCCTCCGCATGTAAATTGATCGTACTAATCAACTTTGATTACTAAGATCAATCACCATTGGCACTGCCTGTCTGAACAGTTCGATTTACATCGATTTCTATCAACCAGTTTCCAAATTTTTCCACTCGAGTGAAAATATACAAAATTTTCTCAATCTCTTCGGGGATATCTCGTTCTTTAAAATATCACCTTTGTGCAAATTGGGAACATAACAAGTCAAAATTAGCCTAGGTTTCTCCAAAGGCCTACAGTTTAAGTATAAACGACATCTAATCTGTGTTTTCTGTCCGACAAACAGCCAAACGGGGGGAAAAAACTCATTAGTATACGCAACGTCAGTGTGGCAATTATAAGTTGGATACCAATCCGATTGAAATGCTTTTAATTCGAATTACGCTGCACTTGTGTCACAAACAGTGAAAGGCTTCTTCAGACACTTGTTGCTGCCCCGTGTCTCTAATGGCGATAGTGATATACGTTCGAGCGAAAGAAAACCATTAAAACCTATTAAGAATTTGTCATCGTCAACAGACAATATCCACGACGAAGAATCAATTTTGACAAAGCCCATGGATTTTTATAGACGTACGTAATTTACAATTTTCGCTATAAATAAATAAGAGTAAGTTTCGTCAACGTTTGAGCATTGAATTTTTTTAATTTTTTTTTTTACAAAGTGATCTCGTCTCATGTTGTTAAAATTTAATGACGATTTTAAATCCTATAATTAATTATGATGGACTATTACGACCGCGAAAAAGCTTGGATCTCCATCTGTTGTCTCGATAAATCTTCTGATAGCGGGAGAATTTATCGGCAGAGTTGAGCACGATATATTTGAAATAAACAATCTCACGATTGTAACAAATTTATTAGTTCAAGTAACGTGAAATTGTTTGACTCGACTAAATGGTCCAAACCTGCTAAAACGTCTTAATAAATTACAATCGAATTATAATTATACAATTAATAATTTAATTGAAATTTAACTTCAATAATTAAATTTAATAATATAATTAGAAATTATTAAAAATAAATTATAATTTAATTCAATTTGCTGAGTACGATAAAAGTTATCGCAATGCTTCTCCGTGCTTGATGAACAGAATTTACAAAATAAAATTAAACAGAAGAAACTGGAGTTATAAATTTAGATTACAAAAAGGTTAGAATGACGGGTGTATAATGATTAATTGTATTAACAATTTTCTGTACTTTCATCATAATCTCGATACCTCGACTGTGTCGATAATTTATCGAATGCCAACATTACAGACGTCGATAACTAGTGCCCCATGCAGAAACCTACTTTACATCTTCCTTATCAATCGCGATAATATCGATAACGCGAAACAAAATATATATGTGCATATATTACAAATTTATGTGTGTACATAAGAAATAAGTAATACGATTACAATCAACGCGTCTATCGATTATAAAAAGAAAAATCGATAAAAGGTTATTGCTCGTTTTTGCACGAGTATTTTATATACGTTTTTAATTCTTTAATTCCAACAATTTTAATGTTTCCACGAAGCAAAAACCAAAGAAAATATTTGAGAAAAATCGTTTGCATATCGATTTATAACTCCGTGGTGCGTATGTACTCAAATGTGACGCACATTCGCTAAACTTTGAACGCCAGTGTATTAAAAGTTGATAAATAACTCAATGATGCGATAACATATTTATAGTACTTGACATTTATATCCTCATGTAAATATATTGTAAAAATTATGAAATTAATTATGCATGAGTAATTATGCAGCGGATCTAATGATAGAAGACATTCAAATCAAAAAGTTTGACGTTCGTTTCATTTGATTTCTTTATTAAATTCCTTTTATATTTTAAAGATCGAAATTTTCTAATTTGGTCTTTGCATTAAAAATGTTTTCCTCGTAGGACCATTAAAAAAAAAATTTTTTTACACAAAAATAATGTAAAATAAGATCGATCGAAATTTAATATTCCTTTCTCGACGAATTTTACAGAAATTTAAATTGAGTAACTCGTTCTTAAGAAGAGAGAAATTTGTAAGATTGACGCAAATTTTATTGTCGAAAATAGAAAACACTGAAAGAATGTCACAAACAGGATATCTCTCGACGAACTTATCTTGAATAATAAGTAATGAATTATTAATGATTTAATTCATGAATTATGAATTAATAATAATTTAAATCTATTAACGTATTTTCTTTTTTCTCTTTTTTTTTTTTTGTAAATTTTCTGAACTTTGTTTCTTAATGTCTGAATAGAATAATCTATTTTTTTTTTTTTTTCTTGTTTTTACACTCTTTAATTCTATAATGTTTCAAGACACGTATTCACGATATTACGTAAGTAACTAATTGTGTCTCTCCTTACTGACGAAACTTTTTCGTATTTTGTGATTTACGCAGCAAAATGGTTATTACTGTACATCGACAAAACAGTCTGCAAATGAGGTTGTTTCTTTTTTCTTTAATAAATTCATATATTCGCATGATTTTTACATATTGTTTTATTTCTTGTTTGTTAACCGAGTTGAAATCGAATATAAAAAGGAAGACTGCAAGAACTTCTATCTTTTTACGATTAAGGTGTGTTTATACGTTAAAAAAAAAATAATTGAGCATAAGAAAAATCTACCTTAGAAATTATTTATTGAAAATATTTTATTCGTCGTTCTACCATCAATCACGTCTTAGAGTATTCTGTGAAAAGTGAAAATTAAAATTCCCTCCTTTGAGTAGAATTACTCCAAAAACTAAATATTCATTCCTCTTAATGCTGACAAACCAAATAATAATAATATTCTAAAAAATTACTTATTTAAATTAGATATTAAGTAAAAATTACTTATGTAATTACCTATGTAAATTAGAACAAATTCTGAAAAATGAAAATCAATTTCCAAATGCATATTTTAAATTTTACCACGTTTTAAAAACTCGTTAGGATTACGCGCAAAATGGAATTATTAGTTCTTGGAAGAGTGAGAATGAAAATTGCACGGTAGTATTATTCCAATATACTCCGCAATTAATTCCCAATTATTCTAAATTCCGAATCACATAAAAATTCATCGGAACTATACACGAATGTTAATTCTCCGCAAGTTGGAGAATTACTGTACTGTCTGCAAAGAAATTAGGATAAAAGTTCCCTCCACTCGAGATTCGAAAACCAAATGTCCATCATGTTATTCACAGATCAACGTTGGCCAAACGAGAGAAATTACGAGAGAAAGACAGAAATTAGCAACCTCCATGTTTGAACTAATTCTCCCAAACATTCCTATTTTCCATCCAATTCTGACCGATCGTCGACTTATCGAGCCTTGTTTCCTCTTTCGATCTTATCACCTCGAAGTCAACTCTCCGCGTGAACTCTTCGCCAACACGTTGGGAAAGAATTCGGAGATCTAACCGATAGGGGTGAGAAACTATCGGACACCGGGTATAGCGCTCGGGTCCACGATCCGTTGAACGCAAGACGAGAGCGTGTTTTCATCAGTGCCGGGCGTTTGAAGTCGGATTAACTGCACATTGTTAGCCGGTATCCATCTCGGCCATTCCATTATATCACTGATTGACGTACCTAATCGCATCAATTGCGTAACAAATGGAAATTAGGCTGCTACGGAATGGTCAATGCCATTCGTGTGCTCGGCCGGCGCGGAAACAAATGGTGGTTTTCGAAAAACACACTTTCTTCGATTATTTTAGAGGAGAGATGACAAAAGAGATAGAGAGGGAAGGGAGGATTTGAACTACACGAGCGAAGAATCATCTCAACTCTTCTTCGGTGGTCGACTTGACGAATTGCGTCAAATAACCAGTTATGGTGGCGTTGACCCGTGTCTGGGTCAGAGTTGGGCAAGTTTCGTTTGAGAAACACAAAGATAAAAAAATAACAATTTAACTTGAGGCGACGGTGATTTAGTCATTTTTATATTTTATATTGTAAACGGCGCAGGAAGAAGTTCAACAAAGTCGGGAATTATTTGCAGGAAATAAAAGAGAGAATGAAACGGAAGGTTGTTTCATTCGACAATCGAGTAACGAAATTAGTCGCTCGGCCGAGTAAACTAGCGCGAAATTATTTCTAGATAACATCCAACGAGAGTGGAATTACTTTCCAAATGTTTCGTACGAATAATGCATTTTTAAAAAACGATGAATTAAATGATACATTTTTCTTTTTTTTTTTTTTTTGTTTTCTTTTTTGACGTTACTTGAAGTATGAAAATAATGGGACAATGAAATGAATTGATCTTTAGATACGAGGGATTAGTTCTTACTTTTTTTTTTTCTGACTTTCTGAACGTGACAAAAAATCGAAAAAAGAAACGTTTCAACATTCTATTAGGCAAAATCATGCATGGATGAAAGTCGATGAGAAAAAAGTCGCGACTAAACAAAGAAAATGTAGGACAATGTATGTATCTTTATATAATGTTGTTACTGACGACGATAATCGCATCGAATCAGGTACGTAAATCAGACATTTTCATAATTCACCTTGACTTCAACCGGAGACTTTAGTACCGAGCATATAGTAACAAGGAGAAACTGCATAAGTAATAATCAAACAAACTTGATAATCAAAATTCAACATCAAGTATTCCGTTTTATTTGTTTCGTACAAAAAAGCAGCGTGCGTTCTATTCCGCGTTTGAAACGCTTTTCGAAGGATTTCTGCTGGTAAAAGAAAATATTGTGAAGGAAATATTGTGAAACTTCTGAAATAACGATTCTTTATTAGAAAGGAAATACGTGAAAATCCGAAATTTGACGACAACTCAATTCTTTCATTATAAATTACACTACTTTTATATTCGTCATAAATTATGTATTTTAAAATTGTGAAATCCTGGTACAACGAAACATCAATTCTCTGATAAAAGGATTTAAAATAAAAGGAGTTTAAAATTTTAGTCTAAAAAAAAAGAGAGAATCTAGTCTGAAATAAATAAATAAACCTAAGTCTAAACAAAACAAATGAATAAACGTACAATCGCTGTGATAAAAAAAATAATAAAATATAAATCTTCTCATAAATCTCCTTACGCAAAGTTCCATAGTTGAATTTTTAAAAAGTTGAGATTTCTGAGAGATGGTACAGTTGTAATATATTGACTGAAAAGAATAATCAAAGTACCAGTATAATTAGTTTTCAGAAAAAAAGAGGGTCTTATGCAACGATGTTTCGGATAGCCAAACATACATAAAACTATCCGTCCATAGTTCATGGTGATTCGTAAAAGGAGGAAAGCAAGCGGCGATAAGAAAATTTGTCGCTTTGCAACATTCAGTTTGAATAATTAATTCCATTCAGTAACCTTCATTAATATTCATGATAAACACTGTGTGAATATACGTCAAACGTTGAAAACTAAAAATATTTCTCGAAGATTAGACTAGAGTTCAAACAAATCCAATAGAAATGTTTACTCATATCTTCTTAAGAAAATTGCATGGTTTCCAAAACTCGAATCTTTATGTTTTTAATTGGAGATGAAAATGGTCAATGATTGGCCAAAATGGCCAAATGTTATATCTAACAGTATTTCACGTTACGTATAACTAGAAGACAAAATGCTTGACAAAATGAGGAATTCTTTATCTAAAATACAGAAGTGAATATTAAATACTAAGAAATGAAGACCAAATATTTTACACATTAATTGATTCTATACATTAACTTGTTATGTTATCTAAATTTGATTTGGAACGCATGCATGTTTCTGTGATTCATTCACTTTTGTATAATTAATGAAGTTCGTGGGAATAAATTAATATTAAAAAAAAAAATGTTGCGTAGACCACTTTGACTTTGAAATGAAATTTAAGCACCATATTAAAAGGCAAATATATTTCTGTAAAGACAGATAAAAGTGAACACAGTATAAAGAGAAATTAATATTCATTGACAGAATTTGAATGAGAATGAATTCTGATGAATTTGCATGGAAGTCTGAGAAAGAATGAAATCTTAAAAGCACAAATCACGCTTTGATATTATATTGAAATTACAATGTGCAATTTCATCATCATTTTTGATGTGCTTTTTATTTTTATTATAGAAAAGGTTGTGATAAAATGAAATGGAATATTCTAGCATTCAACTAGAAGTAGAAAATTACAAAAGAGAGACACAGAAATCAATGTCCAAAAATATAAAGCAACTATATGTGAGTCAAGTTATGAAATACACGCGTGATATATGAAATTCATATCAGTCGTGAGGAGTAGTAGATAACCTTCACGTTTAAAACTTATTCCCATGAAATTTTTCGCAATCAAGAAACTTTCCATTATTATAAAAAACATTAAATTTCAATTTTGATTATTAAAGAATCTACTTTATGATGATCAAAATTATAGAATATTTTGAAGTATTTTGATAATAATATTGAGTCCTCTCAAGAATAAAAGAAATTCTCACAATCAGAAATTTGATAATAAAGATGACATGAAGAAGGAAATTTTGGAGATCTTTGAAGGAAATACCTTGCAAACATATTCAATGTCTAGACAGAGTCTAGATGACTCTTTTCAAGCAGAGCACAAAGAGCTTGAGAATGGAGGAAGATCAGTGATTGTTGCGATGGAAGATTTCATTCAAAGCGTCTTTAAAAAATCTAAAATCTAGACTTTGAATTTCAGATAAATTGTTTAAAATCTAAATATCAATTTTTATATAAAAATCTGGATAGCTAGAGGATAAAATATCCTATTATAAGTCTTTCAAACTGTCTCTTTTCTAAAATATTAAAAAAATAGAATATAGTTGTGAAATAAAATGGAATAGCATGTACTATGCATATTTCTTACTGCAGCTTTGTTTTAAGTGGTGATATTTAAGTGGTTGGATACATGTGCTAGTAAAAATAATTAAATGACTATGAAATTAGTTGGCTAGAGCCAAAAAATCATTCAAAAAGCCTAGAGTTTAAGCTGAATAGTTTTGCTCGGGATCAATACGTTTCAACTATGGTAATTTCATACAAGGTCATGTTTTTCAACTCAACGACAGGAAATGTGCGACAGCACGCAACTAGGAGAAGAAAATTTCAAAAAAAATTAGCCACGTGTGTGGACGTAATTTCTCGTCCGACCGATTCGTAATTGGTAAAATTACAAATATTTGCATTCCTATATTTTCCTTAAGAAGATCTCTTTTCCCTAATAAGTAGTAAAAATTTGTAAATTGAAAAAAAAACAAACAAAATAATTAATCATATAAAACGGATAATTGAAGATAAGATAGAATTTAAAAAAAGATTAAATTAAAATTGCGAAATGGGATTAAATTTTAGAAATTTTGATTTTTATCAAAAGTTCTGAATTATATCAAGGAAGAGGGGATTATCTCTTGAGAAAAAAAACAAGGCCAACAATTAGCAATGTTCTTAAAAATTCAGATAACCATATAAGGAGGTCGTTTCTGACGTTTATTTATAAAGATAGAAACGAATCTTGTTTTCTTTCCTTGATAAAAAGAAGCAAAACCAAATGTTGGAATTATTTTACGAACGTAATAGAGTTTGCACTACCGGAGAATTTTATAAATACCTGCGGCAAAAATCGATTTTTTTATTTAGGATTGAGTGTCAAGTTAAAGGATCGAATGTCCAGAACGTTCTGCACAGCTCGATACAACGTATTCTCATCCAAATTGCAAGTCATTTCAAAGTGTGATTATCCCGTGTTGAGTATGACCACGCTTCTTATCTACTCGTACTTTTTTTTAATAAACCATTAGACATATATATCATAGCATATATACTTGAAATTTTTCTCAAAATGTAATTATATAATAAATAAAACTCAAAAAATATAATTAATAGAAACTTGTATTTTGATAAATATAAATTTCTATTATTTATACAAAACTTACATTTTGATTAATAATTTATTTAATAAGATTTTTTCCAAGAAATGCTTGAATCACAAAGATAATTTTTGTTCTATGGGATTTTATTCTAAGATCAAACTCTGCTATATCAATCAAAACTCACACTTATTTGAAAAGTAATCAAATTTGGATTCGAATACAAATTTAAAAATTCAAATACAGTATTCTTTGCACGGAATTCAAATACAGACCAATTTATATTGTTTCCTCATAAAAAAAA